CCAGTCTAGCTCCCAATAGGCCAATCAGTGTCCTGGATCCCACGCGCCCCCGTCCCAGACACACACCAGAGCCCGGAGACCTCCCCCCATGGCACAAACCCCATAGTCTACGGAGCCTCCAGGAAACCCAGGTCCTGGCCTCCCAGCTTGAAAACCCACGGGACTTGTCCACTGTCCTGACACGTCTCATGCCGGCCGCAAGGGGAGGAGATGCCTCTCCCAGGCCCTGCACAGACACTGGACCCCCTACCTCCCCAGCAAAGCCTGGACTGCAGGGAAACTTCTCTCTCAAATACTCCCCCAGCAGGGCCATGTCTCACACCCCCTTCCCACTGTCTAGGCTGATAACAACCCCCAGAGCCTGGGTCCCTTTGGAGGATCCAGTCGCTCTTTCTTAGGGGCTGGCAAGGAGGCAATCCAAGGCTGGGGACACATTGAGGGGACCGCACACATCTCCCAGCACTGCCAGCTCCTCCCCAGACTTCAGAGTTGGAAGCCAGAAGCAGCTTCCCTAAACCCAGCATGCAAAACAAACCCCAAACTCCCCAGCCCCCCAAATTCATTCCAGGTCTATTTTTCTACCAGAGAGGAGCAGACATTCCATCCGCCCTAATTCCCAGTACCCCCACCCTGTATATTCTGCACTTTATATTTGGATTCTGGGCTTAGGCTTATTGGGGGACCCCTCTCTCCATTCCTTCCAAGTCCTTGGGGAACCCCATTAAAGGACTGTAAAAGAAGAACTTGGATTTGGGGGTGACGGGATGACCCCCCACAATGCTTCCACCTCCCCCACCTACACTACTCCCCACCTCCCTGCTTGTGTGTGTGATTTCAAAGGAAAAGAACAAAGGAATACGTTTTCTAAGCTCTTTCATTGTGTTTTTTACTGAAAGGGGGTGGGTGGATGTGGGACCACCTCATACCGCCCACAGGGAAGGGACATGGGCCGACTTCCATCATACATTGTTGCGGGAGACCAGGAAATGACTCCGTGAGCCTCGGTTTCCACATCTGTAAAGTGGGTGTGGGGGAAGGTCCACATTCAAGAGCACTCCTAATTTGTCCTGTATTTTTTGTAATTACACAAGTGTGTCCTTTTCCTTGGGCTGCTTAAAAAGTTACCACAAACAAGGGGCTTAAAACAACAAACATTTTAAAAATATTTTTCTATTGTGGTAAAATACACGTTACATAAGATTTACCATTTTAACCAATTTTAAGTGTACAGTTTTGTGGCATTAAGTATATTCACATTGTCGTACAACCATCCCCACCACCCACCTGCAGGACTTTCTCATCTCCCCAAACTGAAACTCTGCCCCATTAAACACTGACTCCCCATCCCCTCCCCCAGCCCCTGGCCCCCACCGTCTACCTGCTGTCGCTATGGATGGGACTCCTCGAGGGACCTCTTAGAACTGGAATCATGCAGTATTTGCCCTTTTGTGTCTGGTTTATTTCACTGAGCATCATGTCCTCAAGTTTCCTCCATGTTGTAGCAGGTGTCAGGATCTCCTTCATTTTTAAGGCTGAATAATATTCTATTTTATGGAGGGACCGTATTTTGTTTATCCATTCATCCGTTGATGGACACTGGGGTTGTTTCCACCTTTTGGCTATCATAAATGAAAGACAACAGAAATTTATTCTCTAACAGTTATGGGGGGTTGAAGTCAAAAACCAAGGTGTTGGCAGGGCCATTTTCCCTCTGAAGACTCCAGGCAAGGATCTGTTCGTGCCTGTTCCTAACTTCTGGTGGCTGCCCGCACCCCTTGGTGTTCTTGGATGTTAGACGCATCACTCCAATTTCTGCCTGTCTTCACGTGATCAAACTTTTTCCTATGTGGACTGTGAGAGTCATTCTCTAAGATGTCCCCCTATGATCTTTGACTCTTGGTGTTCACATTCTTGTGTAATCTCCTCTGTCATTGTACCAAGGCAGGTCTGTATGACCAAGGGAATACAGCAGAAGTGATGGTATATTACTTCCAGAATTAGGTTATAAAAGACATTGAGGGCTTCCCTGGTGGCGCAGTGGTTGAGAGTCCGCCTGCCGATGCAGGGGACACGGGTTCGTGCCCCGGTCCAGGAAGATCCCACACGCTGTGGAGCGGCTAGGCCCGTGAGCCATGGCCGCTGAGCCTCCGCGTCCGGAGCCTGTGCTCCGCAACGGGAGAGGCCACAAGAGTGAGAGGCCCACGTACCGCAAAAAAAAAAGAAAAGAAAAGAAAAAAAAGACATTGAAGCTACCATCTTGTTCATGTTTTAAGCTGCTATGTTTGGGGAGGGGGGTGATTTGTTATGCAGCAGTAGCTAACTGATACATATACACATATATAGATATGATTTTTCACACACCCAGATAAGGGATCAAGCCTTGCTAACTATTTTGTATTTTTACTTCCTTTGAATTAATGATCAATGCCCAGAAGTGGGATTTCTGGGTCAAAGGATATGACTATCTCAGGGTCATGTCACTGGAAAAATTGTATGCAATATACACAGCCACCAACAAGGAATTAGCATTACCAGTTTTAATGCGGCCATGCCAGCACTGAGTAGTACCACTTCATTTTATTTAATTGTGCCTGTTAACATTCATTTTCTTGTCCACACTCTTTTTTTTCTTCCAGTTTTGCTGAGATATAATTGACATACAGCACTGTAAAAGTTTAAGGTGTACCACAAAATGATTTGATTTACATGCATAATGAAGTGATTATCACAATAAGTTTAGTGAATATCCATCATCTCATATTAAAAATTATCTCATTAAAAATTAAAGAAATAGAAAAAAATGTTTCTTGAGAACTCAGGATTTACTCTCTTTCATATATAGCATACAGCTGTGTTAACTCTATTTATCACGTGTACATTACATCCTTCATATTTATTTATCTTATAATTGGAAGTCTGTACCTTTTGACCACCGTTCATCCAATTCCCACTCTTCCCACTCCCTGCCTCTGGTAACGAGGAATCTGATCTCTTTTTCTATGCATTTGTTTGTTTTTGCAGTGTAATTGACCTAAACATTATGTTAGTTGCTGTTATACATTGTCCACATTCTTTTAAACCGTTACACTGTGTTTGGGATTTGGGAAGCTCTGCTGACATGCAGTGTGACATCAGACAGGCTGCTTTCCCCTTTCTAAGCCTCCGTTTCCCCACCCACACTTTAAAGATGTCCACTGACATCTTTAAAGGGAAAAGAACTTACATTTATTAAGCAAGTACTATGTACCCTCACTCTGTGCTAAGCCCCCCTTAATGTATATATGTGCTGAACACTTACTTTATGCCAGCTCCAGTTCTAGACATGGGATGCAGAAATGAATGAAACAAAGAAAGATCTCTGCTCTCATAGACCCTATATTCCAGTGGGGAGAGATGAAGAAGTAACACAAGTGAGTGAATATGTAGCAGTGTAGATAGTAAAAGTGTTACAGAGAAAAACAAAGAAGGGAAGGGGGATGAGAAATACTGCAGGGCTGAGTTTAAATTTTAAGTAGGGTGGTCAGAGAAGGCGTCAGGGAGAAGGTGATGCTTGAAGAAAGATTTAAAGATGGTTTAAAAAAAAAAAAAGATTTGGGAACTCCCTGGTGGTCCAGTGGTTAGGACTTGGTGCTTTCACTGCCATTGCCTGGGTTCCATCCCTTGTTGGGGAACTAAGATCCCACAATTCACGCAGCATGGCCAAAAATAAAAAAAGGAGTCATGGGGATGTCTAGGGAAACAGCACGCAAGACAGAGTAAACAGCCAGTGTAAAGGTCCTGGGGTAGTACCATGCCTGGGTGTGTTGGAGGAACAAGGAGGCCCATGAGGCCAGCGTGAGTGATGGGGAGAGAAGGAGGAGGTGAGGACAGAGAGAGGACAGGGCAGGTCCTGCAGGGCCTTCTGGGCCAAGGGGAGAACTGGGGCTTTTACCCACGGGAGGTGGAGCCTACAGGGCTGTGGGCAGAGAAGGGCGGGACCTGACTCAGGTGCTCACAGGCGCCCTCTGATGGCTGCTGAGGGGAGGACAGACTGTGAAGGGCGAGGGCAGGAGCTGGGGGAACTTGGGTGATGGCCACTGCACTGGTCCATGTGAGTGACGATGGGGCTGGACCAAGGTGGTGGCCACGTACATGGTAAGAAGCAGCCAAATTCTGGATATACTTTGAAGGTTAAGCCCACAGGATTTAGTGACAGACTGTGTGTAAGAGAGAAAGGGAGGAATCAAGGATGACCTCAAGGGTTTTGATCAAACAACTTTGAGGATGGAAATGCTCCCAACAAAGACTCTCATTGGATCCTATGACAACGCTATTTGGTAGAGTTACTCATTACTTCCAATTTCCAGCTGGGGAAACTGAAGCTCAGAGAAGTAAAGCAGGTACCCCGGGACTTCCCTGGTGGCGCAGTGGTTAAGAATCCGCCTGCCAATGCGGGGGACATGGGTTCCAGCCCTGGTCCAGGAAGATCCCACATGCCACGGAGCAACTAAGCCCGTGCGCCACAACTACTGAGCCTGCGCTCTAGAGCCCGCGAGCCACAACTACTGAAGCCTGCGCGCCCTAGAGCCCGTGCTCCGCAACAAGAGAAGCCGCCGCAATGAGAAGCCCGCGCACCGCAACGAAGAGTAGCCCCCGCTCCCCGCAACTAGAGAAAGTCCGCGCGCAGCAACAAAGACCCAACGGAGCCAAAGATAAATAAATAAATAAATAAAAAGAAGATGATTCTTTACAAAAAAAAAAAAAAAAGCAGGTACCCCAAGGTCACACAGCAAGAAGTGTCTGAGATAGGATTCAAACTCAGGTCCATCTGACTCCCAAACCTATGCCTGTCTTACTTCGGGGACTAACTGTGTCTCTCTCTCCCAGAGCTCCAGAGCCTTCCCATTCTCCCCCACTTCCACCTCCTCTTGCCATGACAACAATACATAGTTTGTTAGTTTCCTATGGCTGTTGTAACAAAGTACCACAAACTTGGTGGCTTAAAATATTATCGTGGAGGTCAGAAGCCTGACACGGATCTCACTGGGCTACAATCTAGCTGTCAGCAGGGCTGGCTCCTTCTGGAAGCTCCAGGGGAGAATCTGCTAACTGGTCTTTTCCAGCTTCTAAAGGCCACCTGCCTTCCATGGCTCGTGGCCCCCTCCTCCATCCTCAAAGCCAGCAGTGGCCAGTGGAATCTTTCTCACAACCAGTCCCTCTAACACTGATGGTTCTGCCTCCCTCTTCCCTGTTGAAGGACTCGTGGGATTACATTGAGCCCCTGTGGTTAATCCAGAACAACCTTTCCATCTCCCCATCAGCTGATTAGGAACCTGAATTCTATCTGCAAATTTAATCCACCCCCTCCCCCTTGCCATGTAACGTAACACGTTCACATGTTTAGAGGGGTTGGGATGTGGACCTTTCGTGGGCGGGGAGACACTCACTCCGTCTCATATGCAGTGAGCTCACAAGGGCCTTTGTAACCTCATCATCCCCTGGGACCCAAATTTACAAGGCGTCCCTCCCACATGGTTGCTGGATGGGCAAATTTCTCACCAGGGATTTGAACCTAAGTGTCCTGACCCTCCAGCTGCCATGGAAGCCCAACCTGAGGAAGGTCAGAAGTCTTGCTCGAGGGTCCAGACCCTGTTTAAGAGGGTCAAGTCCTTACTCACCAAAACCCACCCCCCTCCTTGAACCTGGGCTGTACCCATGTATATGGGTACGTCTTTGGGCACGTGCCTGAAAGCAAACTGGAGCATCTCCCAACGCAGCAGCGGAGTTTGGGCACCATGGGCCTCCCAGAACATCCAGCCAGGACTGCAGGGGGAGAAGGCTATGCTGCCCACACCCCTGCATGGCCCGCTCCTCTCCCAGCAGACCTGGATGGAATGCTACCTTGAAGCAGTGGGGACCGGGTAGGTCTTGGACTGGGAGGGGGTTCTGGAGATGTGTCTGGGGAAGGAGCTCCAGCCTGGCTGAGTAGGGGTGGGAGCCGGGTCTGTCCTGCAGGTGCTGGACACTGGAGAGCAGCTGATGGTCCCCACGGCTATCGTGGAGATAGATAATGCGGGAGCCTTGTGGAAGTTTCTCCTCTTGGGAGCCATGGCTGGGGAGGTGTCTCACCCGGGCATGGCCCCTCTGGACTGTGCCAAGGTGTACATGCAGGTGCATGGGGAACATGGCGCTGGAGCTGCTGGGATGGGGATGGGTGGAAGTGGAGCTGATGGAGTTCAGGATGGGGGTGAGGGTGTAACCGGAAACAGGTATCAGGGTGGGGTGGGGACAGGGGTTGGAATTGAGAGGATGGTACCAGGGACAAGGATGGGGTGGGGATCAGAGAACTAGGGATGGGGTCTTTGAAGACAAAATAGGACTGGAGAGGAGGAGAAGATGAGGGATGACATGGGAATGTGAGTAGGTGTTGGGTTTGGGTCTGGGTCGTTTTAGAGAATTCTACAACTAGTGAAGGAAGGCATTGAAGAAGGAATGGGGATGGGAGGGGGTAGGTTTGGAGCTGGGCAGCTGGAGACAGGAGAGGTTGAGCTCCAGGCTGGGATGGGGATGGAGATGGGGTGGAGGTTTCCTCAGAGGGCCAGGGACCTCCGTATCCCCAGGTCTACTCCTCCAAGACAAATTTCATGAATTTGCTGGGAGGTATACGGAGCATGGTCCAGGAGGTGGGGTGGGGGTGGGGGTGGGGGTGTCTCCTTGCTATGGAGGGGCAATGGTATCAACGTACTCAAGATCGCCCCGGAGTATGCCATCGAGTTCTCTGTCTTTGAACAGGTGGGGGGATGGTCTGCTTTTCCCAGCCCCACCCTCAAGCCCTCACCTCTCCTGTACCCACGACCCCCAAAGCCCAGATCCTTATCCAAGACATACGTTCATCCTCCGGGTCCCAGACCTCTTCCCCTGGATGAGTTTCAGGAAGGAAGGAAGGTTAGTTATTCTCTCATTTTCCTCTCACCTGTCCCAGTGTAAGAATTACTTCTGCGGAGTGCATGAGTCCCCACCCTTTCAGGAATGACTCCTTGCCAGCTCCCTGGCTGTGGCCACTTCCCAGATGCTCATCGACCCCATGGAGGTAAGAGAATATCTGCCCCATAGAAGATGAAACATGATGAGGTGGTAGCTGCTTCCTCCTCCTCCTCCCCCTCCCCCTCTTCCTCCTCTCCTTCATGTAAGATATGTATCAAACTTGTATTCCGGATGGCTACCTGGTGACCTCAACACTCTTTACTGAATGGGTCCTCTCCTTTCCCCCAGCAATGACCCAACACACCACCACTGTAATTTACTAAATTGGGTAAATTACCTATATTTGTATATATTTGGGTTTATTTCTGACCTTTCTCTTCTTGTCGCTCTGGGGTCTCTTCATGCACTACTATCTTTTAATTTTTTTTTTAATGAATAGACTTTATTTTGTAGCACAGTTTTAGGTTTACAGAAAAATTGAGCAGAAAGTACAGAGTGTTCCCATATACCTCCCGCACGTACACCGTTTCCGCTCTCATTAACATCTTGCATTTCGGTGGTACTTTGGTTACAATTGATGAGCCAATATTGATACATTATTATTAACCAAAGCCCAGAGTTGACATCAGGGTTCACCCTTTATGTTGTACTTGCTATGGGTTTTGACAAGTAGCCACCATAATAGCATCACACGGAATAATTTCACGGCTGTAAAAAGTCTCTGTACTACACCTATTAACCCCTCCCTCCTTCCCCCAGTCCTTGGGGACCACTGATCATGTTACTGTCTATGCAGGTTTTTTTGTTTTTGTTTTTGTTTTTTTTTGCGGTACACAGGCCTCTCACTGTTGTGGCCTCTCCCGTTGCGGAGCACAGGCTCCGGACGCGCAGGCTCAGTGGCCATGGCTCACGGGCCCAGCCGCTCCTCGGCATGTGGGATCCTCCCGGACCGGGGCACGAACCCGTGTCCCCTGCATCGGCAGGCGGACTCTCAACCACTGTGCCACTAGGGAAGCCCTGTCTATGCAGTTTTGCCCCACCATTTTTTCTTTTTTTGGCTGCACCACGTGGCATGTGGGATCTTAGTTCCCCGACCAGGGATTGAACCCGCACTCACGGCACTGGAAGCGTGGAGTCTTAACCACTGGACCACAAGGGAAGTCCCAGCCCCGTGTTTAATTTTTGAGACTTGATATTATGTCTTCTTATTTTCCATCCCTTCTCTTCTTTATCGGTTTTCCAAGCTATTCTCTGTTGAGTTTTTCCATTCAAACTTCAGAAGCAATGCACCTCATTCAGAACACAAAATCACCTACTGGTATTTGTGTTTTACTGGCATGATGTTCAATTCATAGTTGAGTTTAGAGATTATTGCCATCCATATGATATCGGTTCTACATATCCGAGAACATTTCCATTTGTTCAAGTCTCCTTTTTTTCCCTTTAATGGTCTTCTAAAGTTTTCTCCACATAATTCTTGCCCTTGTCTGGTTGTTTCTTTCTGTGTTTTTTTTTTTTTTTTTTTTGGCTGCTTTGGGTCTTCATTGCTGAGCATGGGCTTTCTCTAGTTGCGGCGAGAGGGGGCTACTCTTTGTTGCGGTGCACGGGCTTCTCACCGTCTTCTCGTTACGGAGCATGGGCTCTAGGCATGTGGGCTTCAGTAGTTGTGGTGTGCAGGCTCAGTAGTTGTGATGCACGGGCTTAGTTGCTCCGCAGCATGTGGGATCTTCCTGGACCAGGGATCGAACCCGTGTCCCCTGCATTGGCAGGCGGATTCTTAACCACTGCACCACCAGGGAAGTCCCCATTCTTTTTTATATATATATTCTTTTCCATTATGGTTTATCACAGGACGTTGAATATAGTGCCCTGTGCTATATACAGCAGGACCTTACCGTTTATCCATTCTGTATACAATAGTTTGCATCTGTGAAGTGTTTTTGTTTTTGATTGTTGCATAAGAAATTACTGCACTCAGTAGCTTAAAATGATACAGGTTTATTATCTCATTGTCTCTGTGGGTCACGTCTGGGCACTGGCTAATCGGGTCCTCTGCTCAGGGTTTGATCAGGTGGAAATCAAGCTGTCAGTTGGGCTACCAATGAACCCATCTGAGGCTTGCGGTCCTCTGCGAAACTCCCTGGTTGTTGGCGGGATTCATTTTCTTATGATTGTAGGACCGAGGTCCTCAGCTCCTGGAGGCCACCCACTGTTTCCTGCCATGTGATCCTCTCCGTAACAGTTTGCTTGTTTGAGACCAACCTGAGGGAATTCCCTGATGGTCCAGTGGTTAGAACTCTGCACTTTCACTGCCAAGGGCCAGGTTTGATCCCTGGAACTAAGATCCCGCAAGCTGTGGCACGGCATAAAAAAAAAAGACAAGACACAACCCAAGAGTGTTTCTGATGCTTCCAATCTCTCTGACGCCTTCTGTCTCTGGCAATAGACTCTCTCTTAAAGGGCTCTCCTGATTGGGTCAGGCCCACCCAGGACGATTTCTCTTGATTAACTTAACTGGCTAGGGGCTTTATTACATCTGCAAAATCCCTTCAGCTTTGTCATATCGTGTAACCTGACCGAGGGGAGTGACAGCCCATCACATTCACAGGTCTCTAGGCATGCGGGCTTCAGTAGCTCAAGGGCAGGAGGGAGGGCATTAAATAGATGATGCTATCAGGGGGATGGAAATCTTGGGGACCACCTTAGAATTTTGCCTACCACACTCGGTGTGCTGTCTTTTGCACAATTGTAGAGCTGCCAATATTTTGATATTGGGGCACTTCATAAAAATTCCAGTAACTGGCTTCTTTCAGAAAATTGGCAGATCTGGCTACCTGGGGTCCACACTTGCATGGCACTACAGTTGGCTGGCGTTAGGGCAGAGCTGCGGCAGACCCCACCCGGCTCACATCTCTTCCCTCACCCTTTTTTTTTTTTTTTTAAATTTTTTGGCCACACCACGCGGCCTGCGGGATCTTAGTTCCCCGACCAGGGATCGAACCCGCGTCTCCTGCGGTGGAAGTGCGGAAGCTTAACCACCGGACTGCCAGGGAAGTCCCTTCCTCACCCTCTTGGGCTGAGAGCACATACAGGCCGAGGCATCTGAGTTTGAAACTCAGCTGTGTGCGTTCCTGAGCAGTTTCCTCCTGTGTAGATGGGGACAGTGGCCATGGTTGGGGGTCACTGAGAGGATTAGATCAAACAAGCCACCTCACTCCTCATCCTCCCCAGGTGCTGAAGACATGGCTGACCCTGTGCCAGACTGGCCAGTACAAGGGGCTGCTGGACTGCGCCAGGCATATCGCGGAGCAGGAGGGCACCCGCGTCCTTTACCGTGGCTACCTGATGCTTGGCATAATTCCCTACGCCTGCACCGACCTGGCTGTCTACGAGGCGTGGGTCCCGCAGAGGGGGGTGTCAGGGGCGGCGTGAACCCAGGCCTGTAAAGAGCTTCCTCCTGGCCTTTTCTTCTTCTTCTTCTTTTTTTTTTTTTTGCCACGTGGCATGTGGGATCTTAGCTCCCCGACCAGGGATCGAACCCGTGCCCCTGCAGTGGAAGTATAGGGTCCTAACCACTGGCCCACCAGGGAAGTCCCTCTTCTGTCCTTTTTCTCTTGTAGATGCTCAGGTGCCTCTGGCTGAAATCAGGCAGGGACATGGAGGACCCCAGTGGCCTGGTCAGTCTGTCGTCCGTGACACTGTCCACAACTTGTGGCCAGATGGCCAGTTACCCACTGGCTTCGGTGCGCACCAGGATGCAAGCCCAAGGTCAGCCTGGCCCTAGAGGCGACCTCGCATGCCCCTCCCCACCTTGCCTCTGCTCTCTGAACTTTCTCATCCCCGCCCCAAACTGACTCCTAAACTCTCCATATCTGATCCTGGCCACCTCTGCTGAGCCCTGAATCCACCAAAACTTACACTCACCCCCAAATCTGATCTCAGCCCTTCAATTAACCCCGCACATCACTAAAACGAAAATCCTGGGCTTCCCCGGTGGCGCAGTGGTTGGGAGTCCGCCTGCCGATGCAGGGGACACGTGTTCGTGCCCCGGTCTGGGAGGATCCCACACGCCGCGGAGCGGCTGGGCCCGTGAGCCATGGCCGCTGAGCCTGCGCGTCCGGAGCCTGTGCTCTGCGGCGGGAGAGGCCACAGCAGCGAGAGGCCCGCGTATCGCAAAAACAAAACAAAACAAAAAAAACCCGAACATCCAGCTCCCAAATGACTCCCACAAACCTCCTTGAATCTGACTCAGGCCCCCATACTGACCTCAAGACATGTACTCCCCAAATGACCTCCCAACTTCTCCACATCGGACCCAGCCCTCAATTGACTCCAGAAGTCAAACTGTTTCTAAATTTGCCAAATCTGACTCTGCGACATCCCCAAACTCATAACCACCTGCTGCACTATCCTGGGAACTCCCCAAATGTGACCACCCCCCAAAGGGGCTCTCAAACCCCTAAACAAATCCTCAAACATCCAAACAGGTCCTTAGCCCAGCACCCTGATCTTGAAAATGTCCCCAAACTATCCCTTAGCACAATCCCCAAATCTCTAGCAAATCTTAGAAATTGGAATGTTTTCTAAGATGTTCCCTACAACAATCCTGAAAATTCCTGCCCCTCACTCTCCCCAAACTGACCAATTTCCTCTAAAAGTCTTCCAAACTTCTTTCCAACTGACACCCAGACCCCTTGCTCCTGGCTTCACTGACCCCCCCAACTCTCCAGACCACGCCCCCCTCCAGAATGCCCAGTCATCTCTGGCCCAGGCTCTGAGTTTGCCTCTGTCCCCGCAGACACCGTGGAGGGTTCGAACCTCACCATGTGTGGAGTCTTCCGGCAGATCCTGGCCCAGCAGGGCTGCCCGGGGCTGTACCGAGGTATGACCCCCCACGTTACTGAAGGTGTTGCCAGCAGGTGGCATCAGCTACGTGGTGTATGAAGCCATGAAGAAGACCCTGGGCGTTTAAGCAGTGAACTAGGCATACCCTGGACAGAAATGGACAGGAGGATCCAGTGTCCCCTGGCCCCAAAGAACCCCTCCAGGCTTGGGACCCAGGGTGGTTTTTGTCAGAAGCGGGCTGGGGGCCTGGGTCAGAAGATTCCTGGAGGGACTTGCCTGGTGGCTCAGAGTTTAAGAATCCACCTGCCAGTGCAGGGGACATGGGTTCAATCCCTGGTCCAGGAAGATCCCACATGCCATGGAGCAACTAAGCCCATGTGCCACAACTACTGAGCCTGTGCTCTAGAACCCGCGAGCCACAACTACTGAGCCCGTGTGCCACCTACTGAAGCCCGCGTGCCTAGAGCCCGTGCTCTGCAACAAGAGAAGCCACCGCAATGAGAAGCCCGTGCACCACAACGAAGAGTAGCCCCCGCTCATCACAACTAGAGAAAGCCTATGTGCAGCAACAAAGACCCAACGCAACCAAAAATAATAATAAATTAAATAAATAACTTAAAAAAAAAGATTCCTGGAGCCTCCTCTCCAGGGTGCAGCCTGGGACTAGATTGGACTCCAGTCTGACTCGCTATGACTTGTCCTTGTTCCAGGGCAAAAGGGTGAATGTGGAGACAACCAGGAATAAAGTGATGATTTCTGTTGGACGTGTCTGGGATACCCGGGTCCAGGAGGGCAACTGGGGATCTGTTATACCTGGGTCCAAGAGAGGAGCTGGTTATCTGGAATCTCTGGGTCTAGGACAGAACTAGGACTCCCTGGGTCCAGCAAGAAAGCTAGGGACCTGGAATCCTTGGTTCCAGGAAGTGAGCTGGGGACCTGGAATCCTGGGTCTAGGATAAGAGCTGGGGACCCGGTATACCTGGGTCCAGTGGGTAAGCTGGGAACCTGGAATACCCTGGGTCTAAGAAGGAGCTGGGTATCTGGATCCCTGGGTCCTGGAGCAGGGATGGGTACCTTGAGCCCCTCAGTCCTGAATGGGAATTGGAAGCCTGGAAGAAGCCTAGGTCTAGGAGAGAAAATGAGGGCCTAGGATCAGAGCTTGGAGCTCGGATCCAAAGACCTTATGTGAAGCGGATGTGGGGTGTGGAATTAAGAGGCTGGGATCCCTCGGTCCTGGGAGGAAACCAAAGGCCCTAGACCCTTGAGTTCGGGAGGAGAGCTGGTTCCGTGAGTGCTGGAAGAGAAGTGGGGGCTCTAGATCCCTGGGTGGAGAGAAGAGAGGGGGTACAGTGGATCCCTCGATTTCCTCTTGCTTTGGGGCCACCCCACCCCCGGAAGCACCCGTCTCCAAGGCCTCAAGCAGGCCACGTGCATGGCCTACCCAGCCAGGTTCCTGGGGCGCTAACCCAGACGTCAGGCCTGAATTCCGGCAGCCGGTCGCCAATGCCCACGTCGCCTGCCATTCACTCCGGCTACGGCTAATCCCCTCCCGCCGTCTGGTGGCCGGCTCCGCCCCAATGCAGCTGCGCTTCCACTGGCTCCCACCAAAACGAAGCACCTTTATTTCCTTCATTGCCATTTGTCCGGGGAGGTGTCAGTCACCTTGCGCCCGCCCCCGCCACTCAACCATTGGCTTAGAAGACAGGACTAGAAAAGGATTCTGGTTAAGAGCGAAAGTAATTCAGTCCAAACGCAAGCGCGTCACACAGATCTCGTCAGAGACTGGATACGTTGATTGCCAATCTCTATAAAAACCTCCTTCCATGTGTACTCATTGGCTTGCGTAGACGACTATCTCGCCGGATGCCCGCCCAGCCGTTCAAAGAAGCCTTTCGCCAGATCCCTCCTTCCTGTCCACTTGACTCTTCCGAGCCATCAATCCGGTTCTGAAGCCGCCCACCGATTCTGGAACTCCCGCTTCATTGGGCCTCGGGTCTTCTCGGATCTCCTCGATTTGCCCTCCCAGCGCCAGCAGCCCGCAGCCCACTGCCTCGGAAAGCTGTCGATCTCGCGGCGCCTCCCGCCCACTGCCCCTCGCGGCACTCCGATTGGCCGCTCGCCTCCAGAGCCCGTGATTGGCGTCCCGGGAGCAGCAGCCGCCTTCCATTGGCCCGGCGGCGCCGTCCGTCAAGCCGGTGTCGGGAGGGGGCGTCCCTCTCCCCCCTCGTCGTCTTTCCAGCCGCTGGGTTCCCAGAGTGCTCCGCGGCCGTGTGGAGCGAGGCCTTGTTCCCGCGTTGAGCCGCTGCTGCCGCCGCCGCCTCCTCAGCTTCAGCCTCCGCGCCAGGCCCGGCCCCGCCGCGCCATGTCGGACTACAGCACGGGAGGACCCCCGCCCGGGCCGCCGCCACCCGCCGGCGGGGGCGGGGGCTCCGGAGGAGCCGGGGGTGCCGGGGGAGGCCCGCCGCCGGGCCCGCCGGGCGCGGGGGACCGGGGCGGCGGCGGTCCAGGCGGCGGCGGCCCGGGCGGAGGGTCAGCCGGGGGCCCCTCGCAGCCGCCCGGCGGGGGTGGCCCGGGAATCCGCAAAGACGCCTTCGCAGACGCAGTGCAGCGAGCCCGCCAGGTGAGGAGGCCGCGGGCCTGAGGGGCGCGCGCGCGGGCGGGGGAGGGGGCGGGGTCACGTGCGCGCGCGGGGTCGCGGGGGGGCGGGGCCGCCGCGGGGTCACGTGGGGCGGGGGGCGGGGGCCTGGGCCTCCCCAGACACCTGGAGTGGGGCCCCCTCCGGGGGTGACCCCCTGCAGGGGGAAGGGTCGTCCGGGGTTCACCCAAGAGCGGCCCCTGGGTGTGCAGGGTACCTGGAGCGCGGGGACTCACTTTGGGGACTTCCCTCCCCCGTTAGGACATCCTCCACTCCTGGAAGCAGGGGGCTCGCCTTCCCAGGGAGGTCTTGTGTGCCCCCACTTCCCCATCAGGGCAAAAAGCACTGTTTGCCCCCACCCCGGTCCCATTTCTGCTTGCTTCCTAGGAAGGAGGGACTTCGGGGTGGGGGGGGGGAGAAAAGTCCTCTTGAGCCTGGAAAGTGGAAAGGGGACTCTTTGGCTGCCAGGCAGTGGCCAAGCACTTAGTTGAAATGGGGAGGGTGGGCCTAGGGACTGGCACTTTTTGATGCTTCTGGTGACTTGAAAGCGTGGTCTGTCTCTTTTGGGGAGAGAAGGGAAGGGTCCCACCACTGTTTTGGGGCATGATGACTCCATGGAGGTGTCACATGCTGGTGTGTGACCTCCCCGGCTCCATTCTCGGCCTCCCCATGGCCTGAGGGGAGGAGGCCCATAGAAAGTGAGGACTTTGTTGCCCTTTCAAAAGGAAGCTGACCGGGCTCAGGCCATTGAGTGCTTTCTCACTCAGGATTGTCCCCAAACCTCCAGGACACAGTGGGAGGTCCCGTTAGGGGAATGCCCTCTTCTCCTCCCAGCGTTGTCTGTGGCTTTCACCCCTGGGGTGGGATAGGGTTCTAAGCTGCATTTGATCTGGTTGTCCCCAGACTGTCTTGATAGAGAAGCAACTATAACAAGGGGAGTTGGTGCTGTCATTTGGGGTGGGATAAGGCCTCATCTAGGCATCCCAAGAGCTTTGGCTCAAAGTGTTTTTTTTGTTTTGTTTTTATTAAAGTATTAGAGGTGAAAAGATAGGTCCTCAGCTCACGGCTGTGTTTCTTTGGAAAACTTGTAATAATTCTGTCAGCCGACTCTGGTCTTAAATTTGTTGGGTTGGAGTTTACTTGATGTTGCTGTTCATGTGTCTAAAATGTAACGTGTTCGGAGAAAGGTCTGTTTTGGTCAAAATGAGGGGTTCAGATGCCTTGAAACAAAAACTTTCCTAAGATTTGTTGAACAAATGCAAAGATTATGAGGGTGAGGGAGATAAAGGAAAATTGTGCTCTTCAGCATCCCAGAGGACCAGGAGCTTGGGCAAGTGAATGTCTGAAAGCTCTCCCTGGAGGAGGGGCCCTGAGGACCTTCCCTGGCACCTGAACTTCTGTTCCTTTCACCCCTAGAACAAGTCAGTGTGGATTACACTCTGGCCACGAACAGTTTAGGCACAAATCTCATAGAGAAAAAGGAGTTTTGAAATTCCTGAATAACTCTTAAACTCTGAGGCCTTGGGTAAAAACTTTTTCTAGAAGGTCTTAACCCACAGGCTCTTACCAAAATCTGGGGGAAGTCACTCCCAGGCCAGACAGCAAGACCTGTTGGGTTTAATGAACCAGAGAAGTCGATCTAAGCACCACGGAGGGAGGTTTTGGGTGGTAATTTTTCTCTGCTTACAACTTTATTTCTAGATCGCAGCCAAAATAGGAGGTGATGCCGCTACAACAGTGAATAACAGCACTCCTGATTTTGGTTTTGGAGGCCAAAAGAGACAGTTAGAAGATGGAGGTAACTACCTGCTGGAGGGGCAGCGGGGAGAGAGTGAGGTGCCTTTGTTTGAATGTGGTTCAAAGTGGGGGGAGCCCGCTGCCATTTTGGTCTTTTAAAACCTCAGCGATCCCAGCTTTGTTGTCTCTTTTTGTTCGCGCTGCTATCCTGAGGTATCAGGTGGCTGAGTGGAGGGCAGATTGATTGTGACCAGGTCCAAGTTGTGAGTTCTCAAGACTGTTCCTCCCCTCCTGCCAAGCTAGGGAAGTGTTGGCAGTTCTCTCGAGGCCCCACATCAGTGCAGTGTGGCTGGCCCCGGGGCGTGCAGTGTGATCCAGAGCAGCCCAGAGTATCAAGTCAGTGATCAGCCTGACTTCCCCAAGGCAGGTTTGGTCCTAAGCCGGAAGGACTCGGGTGCCACCGTAATTTTCCCCCTGTTACAAAGAGCTTCTTATCCCTGAGTGCCAGGGCGGGGGATTGATGAAGTCTGGCCTCCCTCAGGGGTTCATCTCTGCTACTCCCCTGTCCTGGCTCTGCCGTGGGGGCTGGGGGACAGGACGATTGTCTGCCAGGACATGCGGCACCAGCATCAGATTTGAGGCAGCTGTGGGTGGGTGGGTGGGTGCTGCATCTGACATCCTCTTCTTTTCACAGACCAACCGGAGAGCAAGAAACTGGCTTCCCAGGGAGACTGTAAGTCCACTGGGTGACACAGGCAGAGGGCAGCTTCTGGATTTTAGGTTTCTAGCATTGGGGAGCTGGAAGTACTGAGCAGACAACACCTCTCCTTCATGGAGGCTCTTGGTGTTTCGTGGGGTCCACGAGCTTTAGAGAACCCAGAGCCTGGGAATTGAGGCAGAAACCTCAGAGTGTGTGTGGTTTTGAGGCGGGCTCCATTGCTTT